AAACGAAAATGTTAGATATGGAAGAGAACGTGAGCAAATCCTATCTCTGTTGATGATCACAAAACCTGGTAGCGTCTCGCTTCATCAGTGTCTGAATCATTATGCGGGTTATTCTGAAAGTTCAATAAGTTAATCGTTCTATACAACTGCATTTCGCTTGTATTTTCCTAAGGCTTCAAAAACAAGCTAACGTATAAAACATTAAAAAAGGTAACCTAGTCGTTGCGGCCTACCCACTGCTTCATCTACAGACTGATGTTTTTAGAAATCGCTGAGAGATATAAGAAACTCTACGAGAGAATCGGTCCGCACATGTTCGTGGTCAGTGTTTGGTTTTTTTGCACGATCATAGGTACGAATAAACGAGTACAATCACTACCAAGCTCGCAGAGACATCAGCTCACCAAAATCCTTTTATATCTTCAACGATATTTGTTTTTATTTCAGTTGAGCAACGAAACTTATCAAGGCACTCGCGACTACATGATGGCTGAGTTCAACTACCAAGTCCTCAGGACGAAAGAAGGACCGCTGACTTTCAAGGGCGAAATGATGTACATCTCTTCGCTGTTTCTCTCACGTGTAGTCGATCTCTACCATCAATTAATATATTCGATAGGATGTATTGTATCTTTATTCACTGCAACACCTACGTTCAGATTAACTGTGACATAGAGGAACGTAAGGGGATGAATCTTCGTGTACAATAGCTTTTCTCGTACTTGACTACCTAGAAGAAGATTGATGACTTGACTACCCAGAGGCAGATTGATGTTCATTGTCCATGACCTCCCGATATGAGTGTGGTTCGTTCGAGGCAAAAGACATAAGTGAGTCAAGACAACTATTTCAAAAACGAACCATCGAAAAGACAACAATTTCAAAAACGAACCATCGAAAAGACAACAATTTCAAAAACGAACCATCGAACTACCAAAAACTCAAAAACGACACCGCTAAGGAAGTCAACTTTTTTCTGTGGATACAAGGAAAAGAAAATGTTTCATGAAAAGAAGGGATTCTTTCAGTCCGGTATCCGCTTTATTCTATCTAGTATTTTGATCAGATTTGGTCCAAAGACTCAAAAACGAACCATCGAAAAGACAACAATTTCAAAAACGAACCATCGAACTACCAAAAACTCAAAAACGACACCGCTAAGGAAGTCAACTTTTTTCTGTGGATACAAGGAAAAGAAAATGTTTCATGAAAAGAAGGGATTCTTTCAGTCCGGTATCCGCTTTATTCTATCTAGTATTTTGATCAGATTTGGTCCAAAGACAGCCAGTATGATTCAACATGATGAAATCCAAATTAATCTGGTTTCTCGTGGATAGCTCGCCGAAGGTGAATTCCTTCTCGGCGTGTTAGTTAAGGAACAAGCACCAGGTGAAATCAGAAATGGACGGTTGGATGGCTCAAGATTATGGGCTTTTCTGAAAATCACCTTTTCGAGCCCTTTTTGCTCTCTACATAATCAATCATGTCCTTATAAATCTTTCTAGCGAGCGCGGTGATCAATGTCTCCATATCTAGGACTTTGTTGCGTTCACATTTTGATAAGTTCATTGACACTAAAATCGGTAAAATCAGCCCTTAGTAACAACGGATTGTTGAGTAAAGCTACCGATTAGTTCCTTGCGGTCCACGATGTCATGATTGGATTGAAGTTTAAGGTCGATGTCCTTTATCCTTTTGCATGCTTCAGATTTCATCTGGTGCTTGTTCCTCAGCTAACATGCCAAGAAGGAACAAGCACCTTCGACGAGAGCTATCTAAAAGTTACCGGATTAACTTGAATTACATTATGGTGAATCATTTAGCCGTCTTCGGATCATATTTGACCAAAACATTCGATAGAATAAAGCGAATGCCGGACTGGAGCGATTCCTTCTTTTAACGAAACATTTTTCTTTCCTTGCATCCACAGATAAAGGTTGACTCCCTTTGCAGCGTAGTTTTTGCGATAGTTCGAGACGTTCTTCTTGACTCACTGACGTCTTTTGGGTCAGCTCACGAAACAGCTCATACCGGGAGGTCATGGACAATAAATATCAACCTGCTTGTTCTGGAGAGTCAAGTACGAGGAAAGCTATTGGACACAATGATAATCCCCTTACGTCGCTCTATGTCACAGCTGTTCTGAACTTAGGTGCTGCAGTGAAGTTCTGAAGCCACAATACCTCCCATCGAAGATGTTGGTTGATGGTAGAGATCGACGACACGCGAGAGAGAAACAGCGGAGGGGTGTACATAGAACGCAGTCAGCCGGAGTGGTGAACTCGCATCCCCCTGGGTCAGTTTTGTTACAAAGCTAGGAGAGATTGAAAGGAGACATTCACTAGGGCCTCACCTCAGAATAACGTTTGTGACAGCAATATTTTTATTGAGAAGAACATGTGCTACAAAACTCAAAAAGTTATTTGAGTAGTTTGTATTCTTCGTGATAGATTCGCCATTTTCCA